GTTTTTTTCTTATATTAAATATAAATTGTCTTGTTCCATTGGTAAAGTTTATCACTTATCTCTTTAATTCAAGAGAAAATGCACTTATTTTAAGAAAAAATAATTTTTTTTGCAGTGCAAACAAAACAAAATTACAATTAGGACCGTGAGTGACCAAACAAGGGTTCATATACTTTGAACAAGTTCAAGTTTTGCATAATAGCGCACTTCCTCAGCAGGCGGCTAGGTTTTACTGACACTATCAATGCTGATCAGCTTTTCTAAATGCAACAGGAACATTTCCTTTTGGGTTCACGCTTTATTATCAGCAGATAGACCATTTGTAATTGCTTTAAATATCCCCTATTTTTCCATGTTACTGAGAGGGTGTTCAGATGCATTTATGCAAGTTCCCCTTGACTTAGATCATCGCTGCTCTGTTAACACAATGAATCTTTGTGCCTGATGCATGAAATTACCAAACAAAAATCTAACAGTCCAGTTTCAAATTCAAAAGAAAACAGACCCCCATGCTCTGCAGAGACTTTCACTGGTGAAGCAGCTTGAACTGTTTCCACAAAACAGAGGGAGAGCAAAAAAGTGTGTGTGTGTGTACGTTCCGGACTGGTGTGTGTCATCCCAGCTGTGCGTTCTTCAGCAGCTGGACTGATGCAACACAAAGGAAACTAAAGGCAACTCGAAGCTGGAAGCCTTATCAGTGAAGCTTTTTTTTTTAGGAGTGATTGTGACGACTGGCTGTAAGGCAAAAACTCTGAGGTAGTCGTGCTTCTCGGTTCTCCTTGTGCTTCAGCACGTGAAAATCATTTTTGCAGGGGCCCAACCCAGAAAACCACCAACCTTCAATGTCAGGCTCAAAACAGCATGAAGGAGAAGAGAGCTCTCTGAGCGTAGAATGGCAAACTATAAAAGAAACTCTGCTTCTATACAAACCAGAAATTTCACAGTCGACCTGCCATGTTTCTCACATGTTAGATGCTGCCCTTATTCTCAGGGAGGCTCCCTATTGGTCAGCAAAAACAATGAGAAACAAACTTGTTTGGCTCGCTGAATGTGGAATACAGCTGACCAGACTGGTGCTAGTTTTATCTCTTTGAGGTAGAACCTCCTACAGAAATATGAGGAGATAAACATCCTTTACTTAACAAAGGACACTAATAAACAGCTCAATCGTACAGTAACTCAGGAAGGAGAGATTTGCATGTTACAACTTTGCGCATTTAATGTCTTTCTTTTGTTATGCAAAGTAGAGGAAAGACCAAGTGAAACAATTATTCAAGCCGTGTTTCTGGGCTGGATTAGTGCTTTGTTATGGACCAGCAGTGGCCTACAGCTGAGGCAATACTGTAAGAGTTCAAAGAAACTAAGCAGCACTCAGAGACTTTTATCCAACAGCTCACACCAATTTCCCTGATAAGGCAAAAGAGTCGTCAAAGAAAGAAAACTGACTTTAGAACCTCCACATTTGATTTTACTACAAAACTAGGCACATTGAAAAAGCCTAATTAGGAATATAGGATGACTGATGTTGAAATGAAAGTCTTTAGGATTACCTTTTGAAAAAATAAATAAATAAAAAGCTCAGTGAAATCTTCTTGAAAATGAAAACTTATGAATTCTGCTCCAGGTTCAGATAAATTAGGCTGCTGTAACTGTTACATTTTTAGAGGAAATTAAAAGTTTTCATTAAATAATTAGATATAACTTTTGAATAACATGTCAACACATGTACATATTCAACAAAAATTAATGGACAAAAAAAGATATTAATTACATAAATAAACACATTAATAATAATTTAATATATTTTTTAGAGGGTCACCAACATGACGCGGTTATTTTTGGGGGGTCACAGACCAAAATGTTTGGGAACCCTTGTTTTAAAATAGCTTTAAGCGGTGCAGTGTAAAATAATTCAGTACTGTTGTGTTCATGCAACATGGTTTTAATGCTTGTCATTTTAAATTAAAAGTTTTAGAAAGAACTAAAAAAAAAAAAAAAAAAAAAGTTTGGGGGGGGGGTTAAAGGGTTCAACTGATAAAGAAAACAGTCTAAAACATCTGAATTGCTTTTCAGTGTAAAACAATCCAGTAGAGTTTAACAAATCTAGGCGTTATAGAGCTAATAAAAAAAACAAAACTGCATACAGAAACTAATGACGCCCCCGTTCAATAAACGCCCTGGGCAAAGAGCCTTATTAACCATATCAAAAACTTAACCCAGTTACTTTGGAAACTTATACGGCTAATTTGCTTATAAGTTTAATACATGTTATGGAAAAATGTAAGAACATTTACACCCTTTCTTTACATTTTATTAAGCTAGCTTAATGGTTTATAAGTCGCGCGAGACATTAATTCTGGCGAGACTGACAGGACTTCTTCCCATTGCAGGTCTAAATGAAGCTAATTTTATTAACACCTCAGTAAATGAACTATCTTACCTTTGGTTGAGAGGACGGACCCGAATGGCAACTTTAACATTTGCCATGATGCAGCCGCTTCGCTTCCTCTCACAGCTCAGCAGCTGAGTGCTTCAAAACTAACGGAGCTCCGGTGACCATGCTGAGCTTTACTCCATATTATCTAGAAAACAGTAGAATAATGGTGGTGATGGAAAAACGTAGGATCCTTCACATCTCAAGTCATCATGTAGTGTTGTAGTCCCGCCCGCTGCGTCTCTCCACAGAAAACAGAAACTTCCTCCTGGACGGACATGGAGGAGGGACGAGATGCTGCTCAACACCCCTCCCTCTGGGCCGCATTACCATCTGTGGGATTCCTGTTTGAATTTGAATCCACACTTTGTTTCTAGACAGAAATGTCGAATATATCGGTAGCAGAGACAGCAGTTGCTTAGGGGCCCCCGACCTCCTAGGGGCCCCATCACTGACACCTAGTGGGTCCCTTACGCAATTGTGGACTAGGACGTCGCTTTGCATATGTAATGGTGGGACTTTTAATTACCATGTTAATAACTGTGTATAGTTCATTAGACGGTTGGTTAAAAAAAATAAACTCATATAATAGGTTTCAAACCACAATAAAGATCTTAAAAGAACGATGTATTTCAGTATTTTATTTTTTACTCTACAGCTTGGAATTATGGGTAATCCAGGGCGTCAATTAAAACCATAACCGTTTCCTACAGTGTGTTAGCGATGGGGTGTTGTACCTCATATGGGGCCCACCTAGATAATGTTGCTTACGGGCCTATTGTTGAGTTGTTACGCCATTGCTGGACAGTATACCTCTAGTTATTTGTGGGGAAAATAAACTACTATATATGAATGTTAGTTTCTGATACCCCATGGGTTAGATTGATAGATGGATAAATAATTATAGAATCAGATCCATAGAAAGAATTACTGCATAGATTAATTAATGCGTCACACACCTTAGGCCCTGGGGGTCTTAGGAGCAGATTCAACCCGAAATTAGATATGTGAATTAAATAATATTGTTGTATTAATACAACTGTTTGCATTTGTATGACAGAAAGGCATTAAGGAATATTTTTTTCAGGTTGAACCACTACTTTAAATGTCACCATGTCTGATTTAAAATGAAAAATCCCAAAATAAACACAGCAAAATACCATGAAACCCTTTTTGAAACTCTGGATGAACCCTCAGACTTTATAGAGCCATATCTTTACTGTAACTCAAGCAAATTGGGACTGAATAACTTAAAGCATGTTTGTTCACTGGAAAAATATAT